CTCCAACTCCTGGGTCTAGGCAATTCTCCTGCCTCAGCCTCCTGAGTAGCTTGGACTACAGGCGCCCGTCCCAACGCCCGGCTATTTTTTTTTGGTTGCAATTTTGCTGGGGCTGGGTTTGAACCAGCCACCCTGGGTAAATGGGGCCGGCGCCCTACCCACTGAGCAACAGGCACTGCCCCACAGGTTGTCTCTTTACTCAACTGTTTCCTTTGCTAATTTGATATCTATTTTTGCCTTTGTTGCATAGGCTTTTGGGGTCAAGTCTAAAAAGATCTTTGCCCAGGCCAGTGACACAAAGTTATTCTCCGTTTTGGTTTTTTTTTCCTAGTGTTTTTAATTTCAGGGTTTATGGTTAAGTCTAAAATCCATGATTGATTTTTGTACATGGTGTGAGATGAGAGTCCAATATCTTGTCTGAAAGCAGGTATTGTTTTCCCGATGCCTTTTATTGAGACAGGATCTCACTCTGTCACCCATGCTAGAGTGTAATGGCATCATCATAGCTCCCAACATCATCAAACTCCTGCCTCAGCCTCCTGAGTAGCTGAGACGATAGGCACACACACACTTACACCTGGCTAATCTTTCTAATTTTCTTTTTCTTTCTTTTTCTTTTTATTTTTGAGAGAGTCTCACTTTATCGTCCTTGGTAGAGTGCCATGGCCTCACAGCTTACAGCAACCTCAAACTCCTGGGCTTAGGTGATTCTGCTTCAGACTTCTGAGTAGCTGGAACTACAGGTGCCTGCCACAACACCCACCTATTTTTCTGTTGTTGTTGCAGTTTGGCTGGGGCCAGATTCAAACCCACCACCCTTGGTATATGGGGCCGGTGCCCTACCCACTGAACCACAGGCACCACCCAAATCTTTCTAATTTTGTAGAGCCAGGTCTTACAGTCTGGTCTCAAACTCCTGCCCTAAAGGGATTCTCCTGCCTCAGCTCTGAGAGTGCTGGGATTACAAGTGTTAGCCCCTGGGATGTTCTTAGCACCTTTGAAGAAAATCAATTGACCATAAATATGAGTGCATTTTGGGGGATCTCATGTTCCACTGGTAAATGTGCCTATTTTATGCCAGTACTATGCTGGCTTTTTGTTGTTGTTTTTGAGACAAAGTCTTACCATGTTGCCATTGGTAGAGTAGCACGGCATCACAGCTCACAGCAACCTCAAACTCTTGGACTTAAGTGATTCTCTTGCAAACCTCAGCCTCCTGAGTAGCTGGGACTACAGGCACCTGCCACATTACCTGGCTATTTTTTTGTTGCAGTTGTCATTGTTGTTTAGCAGGCCTGGGTTGGATTCAAACCTACCAGCTGTGGTGTATGTGGCCGGCACCCTCACCACTGAGGACGGGGCACTGAGCCAATTGTACCATGCTATTTTGATTACTATAGCTTTGTGACGTATTTTGGTGTTGTTTTTTGTTTTTGTAATTTTTGGCCAGAGCCAGGTTTGAACCCGCTATGTCTGGTATACAGGGCCTGCACCCTCCTCCTTTGAGCCACAGGCACTGCCCCATATTTTGGGTATTTTTTGAGACAGAGTCTCAAGCTGTCACCCTGGGTAGAGTACTGTGGCATCACAGCTCACAGCAACCTCCAACTCTTGGTCCTCAGCCTCACAAGTAGCTGGGACTACAGGTGCCCGACACAATGCCTGGCTATTTTTGTTGTTGCAGTTGTCATTGTTGCTTTAGATGGCCCAGGCTGGGTTCGAACCCAACAGCCTTGGTTTGTGTAGCCGGAGCACAACCCATTGAGCAACAGGCGCTGCCTTTTTTTTTTTTTGAGACAGTTTAACTTGGCCACCTTTGGTAGAATGCTGTGGCATCTTAGCTCGCAGCAACCTCAAACTCTTGGGTTCAAGAGATTCTCTTGCATCAGCCTCCCTCATAGCTGGGACTATAGGTGCCCACCACCTATAGGGTCCGGCTATTTTTTAAAGATAGGGTCTCTCTCTCTCTTTTTTTTTTTGTAGCAACAAGAGTCTCACTTTATTGCCCTTGGTAGAGTCGTGGCATCACATAGCTCACAGCAACCTCCAATTCCTGGGCTTAGGCAATTTTCTTGCCTCAGCCTCCTGAGTAGCTGGGACTACAGGTGCCCACCACAACACTTGGTATTTTTTTGTTGCAGCTTGGCCTGGGCTGGGTTTGACCCCACCACCCTCGGTATATGGGGCCAGTGCCCTACCCACTGAGCCATTGGCACCACCCCAGGGTCTCTGTCTTGCTCAGGTTGGTCTGGAACTCATGAGCTCAAGTCATCCACCCACCTCAGCCTCCCAAGTGCTGGGATTACGGTCGTGAGCTACTACACCTGGCCTTCTTTCGTTTGTTGTGAAAGTCTCACTTTGTGACCCTGGGTAGAGTGCTGTAGTGTCATAGCTCACAGTAACCTCAAACTCTTAGGCTCAAGCGATTCTCTTGCCTCAGCCTCTCAAATAGCTGGGCCTATAATAGGCACCTGCCACAACACCTGGCTATTTTTAGAGATGAGGTCTCACTCTGGCTCAGGCTGATCTCGAACCTGTGAACTCAGGCAATCCACCCACCTTGACCTCCTAGAGAGCTAGGATTATAGGTGAGAGCCACCATGCCTGGCATTCATGGCCTTTTCTGTGACCACTCCAAGAGACTGACTCCATCCCTGCTCAAACTCTGTTCCCTGTTCTGTGAGCTCAAAGGTTTTAGCCCATGACAACACCAATGCCCACTGCAAAGAATACATGATTTATTAAAGACTCGTTATCAACAGCACTGATTCAAGAAAAGAACAAAATAGATGAAAAAACAAAAGCAGACTAACAATCTGACTCTGGAGTGAGACCTGCTGAGTTCTTACTAGGGCTCTGAGGTGGACCTCCCGTGAAAATATGGGGAGAACACACCAAAGGCAAGTCCTTGCCTCAGGCAGTATCACTGGGAACTCAGCCTAACCTAGACAAGGTCCTTGAGCTCTCCACCTTCATCTTAAAGTCAGTGGGAGAGCACTGGACCCAGCGCTGCTGAAGGCAAATCAGATGCAGTGATTCAAGTAGTGTGGTCCCAGGAGAGGGTGGGGATAGAGCAGAGGGAATGCATTAGGTGTCCTGGGCAGTGTCTGCTGGGCTCCAGGCAATGGCCCAAGCCTCAGGCTGTGAAGGGGTCAAAATGGAGCTGAGCCACCAGCTGACAAGTTCTGGGTAGAGGCTGGGCAAGGGTGGTGGGAGGCAGTGTGTCTTGGTCTCATCCTAGGAGTCCTTGAATCTAGGAAGGACATCACCTCCCTTCACTCCCTTATACTTAGTTCCTGTACAGAGAGAGCAGAGCCCTCCCAACCATCTTCCTGTTTGGAAAACCAGGAAGGTCCCAGGGGCAGGGGAAAAAAGATACCAACTTTAGATGACCTTGGGAAATAAAAAGGACCATGACTCCAGCTCCTTTCTACCTTCCCAGCCCCACCTCTCATCCCCAAAGCACTTGCCAATCTGCAATAAATAACTAGGAGTCTCAATAAATAGTAAAAATCTCCCAAATACTATGTTCGGAGAGGAGGAAGAAAAAGGCAAGTGTATAAACTCTCAGCAGCATCCAAGGAAAAGCCTGCTAACAAAGCCACCTGAGGGAAGGTGACTCTGGCGCTCAGCTGGGCCTGGGAGGGCAGCAAGAACTCTAAGAAGAGGGTGGCTTCCAGACCGAACCACATGCCCTGCTCATAGAAGGAGGGAACCTGGTCAGTAGCCCCCATCCCAGAGGCAGGAGTCATGCCAACACCTGCTCAGAGGACACCTGCAGCTTCAGGCTCCATAGGGCAGAGACACACAGAGGCACAGCCATGGCCCTTCTGGCACCAACAGGACCCAGGACTTTGATGCTCAGTTACACATGGCCTAGGGTGTGCCAGGTCCCACCTGCCTTTTGTGGGACTCACCAGTCTGTGCTGGAACCTGGAGGCCAAAGGAATGACAACTCTTGAAGCACTTGGATTCCAACCCGAGGTATGGAATCACCTTAGTGTCCTTTTCCTTTGGGACAAGATGGCCTTTGGGGGCACTTTCAGAAAACCTGGCTTTCCTTCTTCCTTTTTCCTCCATGGGCAGAAAGCAGGGGCAAGAGGCTCAAAGCATCTTCAATATTCAGCAGCTCTGGTTTCCAAGACTCCTATTATGGGAAGCAGGTTCAGGGCCCTCTAGTGAGGCACTAAGGACTTTTTCCCAGTCTGGAGACCTGGAATTCTTGGGTTGTAGGATGAGAACAGATGCAAAGTCCAAGGCTGACCTCCAGGGTCCTTGCTGAGCCAGACACCTCATTCTATCTCCCAGGTTCACAGGAGTGGACGGAAGGAGAGAGGGGAAGAGGCTCAGGATAAGGCACCCCAAGAGAGAACAGCAGAGGGCGAGTAATGGAGACAAGGTGCACACACCCACTTCAACAGAGGTGGAAGGAGACAGAGGTAGAGAGGCAGAGGAGAAACAGACCAAGTATAATTCAGACAGACAGACAGACACACACACACACACACACACACACACACGCAGAAGCAGACACTCCTGGGAAATTCCAGTATACATACACGTCAACACTACCAGATAGACATGCTTAGTAGGAGACACACAGAGGGTGTGACCTGGGCCTGGCAGCTGCTTAGTGCCCTCAGGGTCACTTTCCCCCAGAGAAGCCTAAGCACCAACCCTCAGAAGTGGTTTCTGGCCCATTTGCCAAGCACCTCCATGACCAGCGCCCAGAGACAGGAAAGGGGCCCCTGCCAACCTCCCAGTGCCTCCAAATGGCCCCTGGTCCCAGAAAAGAACTTTCCAAACCCAACCCTGCTCAGTGGCCTGGGCAAAAAAGGTCACAGGGCTGAAGAGCAGGCAGGGAGCCAGGGCTTGGTGGGTAGAGAAGGAGCACGGCACAGTGTGCCCCCAGTGGGAGCGGCCTGGGCAGAGGGAGCCAGGGTGAGAAGGCCTGGAATGGATCGATCCTGCAGCTTCCCTCTAAGCGGGGTCCCACAGGTTTCTGTATGTCCCAGAGCAAGGTCACCAGGGTCTGATGGCTGCTCTCCCAAACCTCGGCCTCTGGCTGCCAGGCTACTTTGAGTCTTGGAGCTCCTTGGCTTTCTGTAGGATCTGGCAGACATCTGTGCTGGGGTAATCCTGGGTATGGGAAAGGCCAACAAAATGCCTGAGCCAGCCCACCCTTTGCCACCTCTGCCACACCTGCACTCCTACTGGGGCCTGTCATCATGCCAGACCGTGGCCCTATGGCAGGGAACACAGAATACTAGACATCCCAAACATGCTGCCCAAATGCGGCAGGGAGCTAACATTGCACCCGCTGCAACAGCAACTTAGCCGACCCACACAGTACCACCCAAGGTCCCACCGCCTTCTCTTCAGGGCAAGGACCAGGACTTTTGCTGCCTCATCTCTGCCCTGTGAATATCAAACCCCAGGCTCCACTCACACCCAGCACAGGCCCAGGCACTGAGGGTTGGCTGCCTGAGTCACCTCAACAGCCCTATGAGGGGGTCACTGTGCTCACACCTGTCTCAGAGAGCTAGCTGATAATGTTAAACCAACCCTGGCTCAGCGCCTGTGGCTCTAGTGGCTCTAGTGGCTAAGGCGCCAGCCACATACACCTAAGGTAGCAGGTTTGAATCAAGCCCGGGTCTGCCAAACAATAATGATGGCTGCAACCAAAAAAAAAAAAAAAAAAAAAGCCAGGCGTTGTGGTGGGTGCCTGTGGTCCCAGTTACTTGGGAGGCTGAGGCAGGAGACGCACTTGAGCCCAGGAGTTGGAGGTTGCTGTGAGCTGTGAGCTGTGATGCTATAGCACTCTACCCTTGGGGATAGCTTAAGGCTCTGTCTCAAAAAAAAAAAGAAAAAGAAAAGAAAACCAACCCTACAGTAGGTACTAGTAAAGAGACTAAAACCCACAGGGTGTCACTTAGCTCTTGGGTCACATGATGAGCATAAAAGAACAAAGGTTCGAACCCAAAGCTGTCTGCCCTATGTTCTTTTTTTTTTTTCTTTTGAGACAGTTTCACTTTATCACCCTCAGTAGAGTGACCATGGCATCATAACTTATCGCACTCAAACTCTTGGGCTCAAAGTGATTCTCTTGCCTCAGCCTCCCAAGTAACAAGCACCTGCCTATTTTTATTTTTTTAGAGACAAAGTTTTACTTTATCGCCCTCGGTAGAGTGCAGTGGCGTTACAGTTCACAGCAACCTCCAGGTCTTGGGCTTAGCTGATTCTCTTGCCTCAGCCTCCCAAGTAGCTGGGACTATAGGCACCTGCCACAATGTCCAGCTATTTTTTGTTGCAGTTTGGCTGGGACCGGGTTCAAACCTGCCACCCTTGGTATATGGTGCCACCCCCTGCCTATTTTTAGAGACAGGTCTTGCTCTTGCTCAGGCTAGTCTCAAACCCGTGAGCTCAATCTACCACCTTGGCCTCCCAAGTGCTGGGTACAGGTGTGAGCCACCACACCCAGCCTTGGCCTATGTTCTTAATCACTACGTTCTGCTTTCATTTCCGGGGTCTGAGTGCAACTACCAAGGAGCACTGCCATGTTCTTGGTGCCTGCTGTGTCCCAAGTGTGACTAACCTAAATACAGTACTTGGTTTAGAGAGGCATCATTCAAGGTCACACAACATTCAAGGTCAGTGGCAGAGCCAGGATTCAAACTAGGATCCAAAACAGATCTGTGTCAGGGGCCTGGACTCTTCATCTCTGCTACACTCTACTCTTTCTGACCCAGCTGTCACACAACAGCTCATGTTGGGGGGGAGCTTGATAAGCACCTGCCTTTGGCTAAGACTATGCCCGCCCCTCCCAACTCCCATTACCTGCAGGAGCCTCATGTTTACAGTAAAGTCCCCTTCCAGCAGCTGCTCCCGGATCAGGCTGAGAAAAATAAGAAGCAGAAGTTCCAGGACCCTCAGCCACTCTGAGTGCAGGTCCTGCAGGCTCCATGCAGGTCCCTTCCTCACCTCCCACAGCAAATTTGCCGTGGCTCCTACCCACCCTCCAGAGGCTGAGGACTGGTTCCTCCCAAAGACTGGCCAGGTAAACCAAGGTCATGGACACATACTCACATGAGCATGGCACAGCAGACGAGGAGTAGGAAGTCAAAGCGGTTGTCATCAGCGAAGAGGGAGTCCCAGATCCGGATGACATCAGGTAGCAAAAACTCCTGGGACAGCAGCAGTGTCAGCCACCGGAAGGCAAAGAACTGGGGCTTGATGTTCTGCTCTTGCTAGGGAGACAGTGGCAGAGGGTAGGGAGCAACAATTTGTGGTTGGCTGCCACATAACAGCTTGCAGCCTACAAGAAGCAAATGCAGATAAATACTAGGGCACAGGACTGAATGTCGAGGGTATAGTGGGCCAGGTGTGAATGCCAGGTACTTTTATGGAAGTGGCACTGGGCTGGCTACCAGAGAGCCTCACTCAGTTAAACAGGCAGGGACATTTTGCTACCAGCCAATGTCCTCAGATCTTGTGATTTTTTTCAAGGGAAGCCACAAACCCAGATTTTTTAATTTTTCAGAGATAGGATTTTACTCAGCTGTCCAGGCTAGAGTGCATGGCATAGGATTTTACTCAGCTGTCCAGGCTAGAGTGCAGTGGCATCATCATAGCTTATTACAACCTTAGCTCCTGGGCTCAAGGGACCCTTCTGCCTCAGTCTTCCAAGTAGGTGGGACTACAGGTACATGCTACCACCACAGCTAATTTTTCTATTTTTTGTAGAAATGGGGTCTCACTGTGTTGCCCAGGTGGGTCATGAACTCCTGACCTCAAGTGATCCTCCCGCCTCAGCCTCCCCAAGTGAGGGGACTATAGGCAAGAGTCACCATGTCCAGCCAATTTATCTTTTTTTTTTTTTAGACAGAGCCTCAAGCTATCCCCCTGGGTAGAGTGCCATGGCATCACGCTCACAGCAACCTCCAACTCCTG